TGCAGCTTTTCACATATATTGTTTGATTGGTTATGCAGTCAAAGGATAATGTTAACTACGTAGACAATATGTTAAATACTTTTAAAAACTTAGTTTGAAATTCTCCTTCTTATATTAGTGTAGATATAATAGCATGCATTATACCAGTTCTCAATCAATTGATTAAATTCTAGAATGTATACTATATTGTAAGATACAGAACAAGTATTATTTTGGCTCATAATGACTTCTAATTAACTCATATAAGTATTATTTCGAAATGTGGTCAATTCATGTTAACCCATTGAATATTCTTTCAACAACTAAGTCACTTTTAGTTAAACTCAAATATTGTTTTGGAATATAATCACTCTTGCACAATCCATGATAATATAATTTTTTTAAAAACAAGAACTCCCAAATAAATTAAATATGGTCTTTGATGTGATCAACAAATCATAAGGTTTTCTCACTAGAGAGAGATGGCATCTTTGAATGTTTATAAGAGTTAAACTCTCTCTTTTAGTTTACTAAACAAACAAAAATGTGTTATTTATCACAATAAGAATTATATGTTTTAAATCTTGTGCACGTATTGAGATTTTTTTTATCTTACAATGTTGATATGCTGATCTGGATGATTTTATTAAGTGGAAATAAAATTTTAACTTGTAATTCCTACCCAAATTAGGGTTGTAGAGGGTCAATCCGTTTCGTAGTTTGTGAAGTTCTTGTCTTTGTACACGACGAAGTTTGTGTCCTTGTCGTGCTCTCAAAGCTCGACCCCACCTCTAGAAAGTAGAGAAGCTTCGCGGAGGCACAAAATTCCGGTAGTAGTTGGTCAAGCGCGTTCTAAGCTACGAGTTTCACAAACGTCGCCGACTCCGCCACACTCAGCGATGAAGCCTTGGACAAAAGAAACATAGGCTTGGGAAGTTGTGGATCTCTTTGTCCCAATAACGAATCACGTAGGCTTTGGGTGTGAACGAACCTGCATTGAGTGAACAATGACACTGAAGAAAAGTTGTGCTTACATTGAGAGACAACAAGAGGACAAAGAGACGGACGTGAGTTGTTCATTTATGTTATTCTCACTCTTTTTCTTCGATTTTCCTTTTTTTAAAATTTCCCGTGAGTGACAAATGAGGGGAAGAAAGAAGGGTAAGAGACTTGAAAACTTCTGTGGTGGTGCTTCTCTAGTTTGCGTTTTGGTTGAAATTTAGGGCTTTTTGCAATCTGAGTTTTCTGGTTTTAAGGTCTTCATGGAGGCGTGATCATGGTGTAGTGGTGGAACTCGCGACTTTTGCGATTAGGGTTTCGTCACGGTGGCACTATTGTGTGTGATGAAGTTGATGAATGCGCAAGGTTCTACGGTGATGATTGAAACAAACATGGTAGAGTCGTGGTGGTCCCAACAGTGCAAGGTTCTACGGTGATGAAGAAGATGAACCTCCCAATGCATCAGAATCCTAATTTGGATGGGGAATTACAATTCATAAATTAAATTTTTCACGTAATAAAATCATCTAAATCAGCATCACCATATTAGAAGACTTTAATGATGTTTCTAACCATTTAACAAAAATACTTAACTATTACAATTTTATAAGATAACCTACTTGAAATTCTTACGACAAATAAATAAAACATACATTTTTTTATAAAAAAAGGTCATTTGAAATAGCAATCTTAAAGCCGGTAAAATATCCTAAAATCACAAATAAAATCATATATTATAGAAAAGTTGTTGATCAAAACCTGCTTTCAGTGTGAGAGATTATTCAATAAATACTTTTACCTGATAAGGTTAGACTTTACCTCAATCCATATTCATCATTAAAACTGATAAGATTATATATTATTACTAAAAAAAGTTATAAGTATCTTATAAGTTGCAGGAATTTATAAACTTCTAAAAAAACTTAATTCAAATACAACTTTATCTTGTCTATATATAAAATAAAAGGAATTCGTTTTTTTCCGGGTATATATTTTTCTTTTCAATTTTATTTTAAGTAACTTTATTTTAAATTAAATTAAATTAAATTAATTATATTTTATTTTTAATTTTTAAATAATTGTTCATTTAAATTTAGTTGTTTTATAAATTAAAATTATTATTTTATTATTTTATTATTTTATTTTTTGATTACTTTTTTAATGTAAATAATTATTTATAATAAAAAGATAATTAATAATAAAAATTATAAAAATTATTTGTTTTATATTATTTTTAATAAAATTTATTTTATAATTTAATAAATTTTCATTAAAACAAAAAAGAAATAAACCGGCGTAACAAATTTCTTTTCAAAGTCGGTAAATTGAAAAATGTAAATTACTGAATCGTGCTAATTGGAGAATCACGATAAATGCCCGAAGATTTAGATTCGGTTATCCTACTGCCCATATGAATTAAAAGAATCAAAGTTTTAAAGATCATAAAATATTAATAAAAATACTTTGAATGATGTTTTTACAAACTGTTTACCACATAAATTATTGACCAAAACATTTAACATTAACAAAACTAATTAAGAAAAAATAAAACAAAAAATGTATGATTATAATATTTTTAAAAATAAAAACTCAAATTGTAATCTTTTTTTATAGAAAATTATTTTATTTAAAATAGACAAAACTAGTAATTGCATTAGAAAACAGTAAATCATGAGAACGTTTTCTTCCCACTTTCATCTTTGATATCAAGTTGTTGGATCGTGCATGTAATTCTTTTTGGTTGCATGTATTCCTATAATCTTGGTTTTCCCACCTCACTAATCAATGGTTTGTTTGGTTCAGTCTCATTGCTTCTTTTTCGCTATCTCTATGTTATTGTAGAGTTTTTGCGGGCTCGAAAGCATTTTGGAGTCTTAGAGTTTGAGTTGTCTTTCAAAGTTGAGAAAAGTTAATTTTAGTTAATTATTGGTTTAATTTCAATTGATTTTGGTTATGATTGAAACTGAAATTCTATGACTATTGGGTATGTTTGTTGTTTGGTAGTTAAATGAATTGAGATAGACGAATTTGGTTGCAAGTTTTTTCTTTATGTTGTGAAATTAAAGGGTCAAGATGTTATATATTATTGTATATGGATTGATTAATGAAATTATGAAATTGATGTTGTTATCTAACATAAATTGTCTTAATGCGATTTTTGGTGTGTTTGAGACTTGTTAGAAGCATTTAATGAATTTTACTTTGTCAAAAACATACAAATTACAAATTTGAGTTTGTGCATTATGCAAACTCGTTAGACGAGCTCATTGCTCATTGGAGTGCCAAAATTAATTTTGGCTTGCTTTTGGGCAACAATTCTCGTTGGGGAGAATTTTCTAGTTGTGCAAGTTAGATTTTTCTATTTTGAGTCATTTCAAATATATTTAAATTCTCATTTCGTTAACGGTTGGATCACGCTAAATTTTTAGTAAAGGGTACTAGACACATAGCTCTTTACTTTGATGGGCAAATATTTATTTAGAGATCTACAGTGAGAGCAGTTTTTCGTGTAAGGTTCCCATATATTAAGTTATTGACAATTTTGACCTTTATCACTTGTTTAGTGCATAATTTTTCCTACAGGTACCTAATTGGATTGATTTTTTTTACTTTATGTTCTTGATTCAATTATCTTTAATTTGAATGCAAGAAAATAATTTTTGGAGTTTTGTAGAAGATTCAATTTTATTCTCAAAACCCTTAACTAATTTGAATATGTATTGCTTGCTAAGTTATATTAAATAAATGTTTAGGGATGATATGAATTTTGGAATATAATGTTGTATAAAACTATGATGATGATGATGGGATTCCACCGAGAAAATCTTTGTATTGTATGATTTTTTAAGTGTGCATTTGAAGTAAGGACTCAAAAATGGAAGTTATCTTAACATTCTACTAATCATTCATACTCATATATAAGAGAATGAATTAGGAATTTAGAATAATAGAAGATCTAGTTAAAAGAACACTTTATAATTCTAAGGATCTATATAGAATTAACCTTGTGGATTTAGGTTATCCATTGCTATTGCTAAAACTTCCAAATCTAATGGATCTTTTTCAAAGTGACTTGTGGATTACAATGGTATAAATTGCTTAGTTTATTGCTTAATTAAAGATTATATGATGTCTCTTTTATATATTAGCTTACCATCTTCTTGTTATTGGTCTATTTTATGTTTGTGCCTTTTTTGATATATACAAATAAGGAAACAAGTGTTAAACTACCTCTAGAATATGATGGTGGAGCTTAATAGTATAGGATTGTAGTTCAATAGATTTCAACCTTTTTGAAAAACCTTCAGTTTTATAACTTTTGTATTTAAATCACTCTTGTTGTAAACATATCTTTTGATTATTATAATTATACTTTTTTGATAATTGTAATAATATCTAATTTATGCATTTGTTTATCAATTTGTTTATTTCACTTAATGGTTTGGACTATTAAAAAGAATGTTACACTTAACAAATTTAAAAGATTTTTTTACTTCATTGACGAGTGTGAACGGGCGTGAAATGTGGAGATCTTCTATTGTAATGAATTTGTCACTTTCCAGTTTTGATGCCTATTCCTTTCAAACAGAATTAATAATAATTAACTTTTCTAAAGTCATGATACATTTTACATCAAGAGCATCACTATCTAACTAGATAAAGTCGATTACATGAATGTAAAGTTATCAAAACACGAATAAGAAAACAAAATTTTAATGATTATTTATTATCCATCTCTCTCAATACTTTCCTCCAATATTTTTCTTGACTTCATCCTTTTCTACAGAATTCAAAACTATGTAATATATTTTCCTCACCGGTGCTCCTCCACTTGCCTCGGGCGATCAACACAAATCTGTTAATTTACTTCACATTTGACTCATTATGGCAAAACCCATTTAGTCAAAAGTCCCAAGTAAGACTAAAAGAAAAACATGCCTAAACTACTTTCCTTTCCAATCTCACTTCATCTATGAGATTTTGTACAGATGAAGCATTTTTCACAATGGCAATATCATTTTACGATCATTCCGTGAAATGAGGTTTCTCACGTTAGAAAAAAAGTATGAAAACCAGGCAAATGACCGAGTGAAAGAAAAAACGCCAACATATAAACCTAAAATTCCTGTTTCAAAAATAAATTGCAAAGGAATAACCGCTTGCCTTCGTTGGCAAGCATAGCCATAAGTGCTTAACTTTTTCTTCCAGCAGAAATTGATGCCGTGTCAACTTCGTCCATTTTATGGATGAATACACGAGGTGGTTTTTCTCTGTCAGTAGCAAAGAGGCAATAGTCAGAGTAATAGAATAAAGGCTTGACTCAAAAAATGATATTTTCATGTTTAGTTTCTAGTAGCAAGGCCTGGGTTTGTTTATTGCCTAGCTGTTTACGAAGTAATTAAGTCGTTTAGTATGCAGCATGATATTACAGCTATCAAGGCCTTTCTTGGTTTAAGTGTAATGAGATGAAGTATTATCGTGATTTAAATGGAAAATGAAATGTACAACAACCAAAGTTAATATTTAAAATCAATAAAACGTACGAACTACAAGGTCATAGCAAGACTAGCTATATCCCATTAGTGAGTTAAACAGTGGGAAGTAAAACTTCTTGATCCAGAAACAAAATAAAGAAAAGGATAACCCATTCTCATATTTTAGGATATCCAGCAGATATAGAAATTTCAACAATCCAAAGCATGAAATGAATCAATGATTCAGGTGATGGAAATTCCAAATCTCACGATCATCTTAGGCATTTTCTTTAATCTGCTAAAAAAAGGCTTTCTATCAATAAAATAAAAAAAATTGTAGCTAAAACCTTTTAATTCCCTTATTACACGTTGGCTAATACTATGATCAAAGGATGTTTAGACACACTTAAGTGTAAAATAATATGAAACTCGTTGTCTGACTCCTTGATCATTATGAAGCATAAAATTCTAAAAAATTTCAATGACAATGGTAACATCGGAACAGAACATCAGGTTTCAAATTTACTATAGAAGAAATGTGCTAAGGACGAAAAGAAGATAAAAACTACTCACATTTCATTTGCTTCTTGGTAAGTATAGCTTGATGCTACAGCTAGAAGCTCTCCCACGTGGTTGTATGACAAGGATGCTACACTATTTGAGTACCTCGGCAGCTGATATTGATAAATATTGGTAGTAATTAGTAAAGCAAGGAAACCATTGAACCTATTACAATTTACCAACACTAAAATGATTACATTTGTGAAATTAACAGGCAAGTACCTCGACTAGTCTTCTCTTACTTCCAGCATCCCACATGGTAACATAACCTTCATTGTCACCAGTGACAAAAGCACCACATACACTGAACAGAACATAATCAAATTTTGACTTTTGTTAACTTATAATGCAACATTTATAAAAAGGTACATACAGTGGACTGAATGCAATGTCATTCACTGATACAAAGTAATGCCGTCCATCCTTTGATTTTGGATGACACCGGAATATATATCTGCGAGGATTTGATAAAGCAAATCGTGAGAAACTGTGACTGTCCTTAAGAACAATCTGCAAACTCGTGTTTTCCAACATAAAACATTAGGGTCCTAATCAAACAATAAGTAGATGCACAGTTTAGATATTGTTATGAAGGAATCTAATGCTAAAGAAACTTTGCAATTGGTCAATGGTAGCTGGAAAAAAGAATACGGAAACATGTTGCAAATGTCAGTTTTATCAGTGTTGTACTAACACTTAGACAGTGAACATCACACCTTCCCCTCATGACCTCAAAATGCGAATCAAACACCAAAGATTTTGTCTTAATGTGTTCAATGGTCGCGTATATACGATTCAACACAAACACAGGGATATGACAAATTTTAAAAATTATAGGACAAAAAGACGACAATATCCTGTTGGTATAAATTTAGCATAAACACAAATCTCTAATCAAAAGAGAGAATCAAAGTTATAAAAGCGAACATAAAAAATGCTATAAGTTATCTAATTATTATGACATCGATCACAACATCCTTTTCTCACTAGGTTGTGTAGACTACATGGACTAGATGACATCATAATATTTTGAAATAAATCATGTCATATAAACACATTATTGGCATCTAAATCCATGGATTTTTGCCCCTTAGTTTTTCTTGGTCTTCGTATCTTGCAACTGGATTAGCCTCCATCAAATCTACTCTTCTATATTTTTCCATAATGAGTATTACCCCCAACTTTTTCTCAAATGTGTTCAGTTCTGATTCTATCTTGTTTATTCTCTTGGAGTTTATTCTCTTGTTGACCTTTTACTGCCTCAATATCGTAGGGTTTATAGCATTGCAGAAAAGTTGTCCTTTAAGCATCAGTGCTATTCCTCCCCCATTTTATTCATTTTAGTTGAACCCTATGATTTGCCTCTCTTTATTTCTCTTTGTCCTCTTTGATGGGCACTAGATATTTAAATTGTTTGAGTTGAGCTAAAGTATGCTCCCCAAGCTATAGCTAACTCTACACTTGGGGTCGTTGTTGTACCTCTTGTTAAACTTACATTTCGTCAATATGTCTTACTCCTAAGAAAAAGTCATGATCTTTCAAAGCTTGTGCCCAAATCTCAAATTTCTCATTTATCTCCTACAACCAAAAACCCAGATCTATATTGGTACAAAAAACATGCATAGTAGCACCAGCTATTGGATTTGCTACGGACGTCCAAGACAATAAATAAAGAGAAAGGGTTCAGAATTAACCCTTGGTATATTCTTGTGGTTATTAGAAAAACTACAGCCACAACATATTATATTCTCACCTAAGTCGTTACCTCCTCGTAAACGTCTTTGACTACTCAACACTCGAATATGTGCAAAATACAATTTCCTTTCTTTCCTAAGATCCTTCATAAAACATCACTTGACACTTGACACTTGACACCTAATTATATACTTTCCCATGTGAATGAAGACCAAATAATAATCTTTTTGATTTCTCCAATATCTGTGCATTAAGTATCACAAGAAGTATGTTGTTTTCAAGGTTGACCTCTTAAGCAACCCAAATTGATATTCAATAATGTTTCTTGTCTTAATCAATTGTCAATTACTTTGGCCCTAACAGGATAGGTATATAAATTAAAAATAATGGTGAAAAAAAATGTAAAATATGACTACGAGTGTTTTAGTGTCTCTAATAACCTTTTTCCCATAATTAGACAAGTATAAAAGTTAACAAAATCAAAATTTTAAAATATAGCTACAAGCATGTGAAGTGCCTATACAAGTACTATTTTGAAGTGTCTGTGTTTCATGACATGGAAACCATCAACTCCAATCCAAAATCATATCAAACCAGTAATTGACAAATAAAAAATGTGGCTGTTAGACAAAATTATGCACATTTAAATAACTCTAGTTTCTCATCCATTATTGAATTTTTCCTGAACACGAATGGAATGCTTACAAGATTACAAAAAGAAATATAGGTGTGAGTAATAAGTTATAAACTTAAAACAACTAAAGTGTACTCGTCTGTCGCAACGACAAAGAAAGGTAAAAGACGACAATCAAATATAATGTATCATTAATTTTAACAAATGCATATATGAAATGTAAAATGTTCTTCTAAAACTGACCCAATGTCATCTGAACTGGATGGATAGGAAATCTGCAGTGATACTCGTCCATCTACAGACCCAAGGGCAAACCCTGCAAATGCATCAGATTTAATTTAAACTCTGCCTAAACTCTGATTTCTGATTTATTGCCTATGAACAAGTCGTTAGCAATTCTAAATCTCAGATATTAAAGGCGTCTAGAAAACCAATAACTAAAAATGTGATTAAACTTGAAAAATGTTCTTAGTGGGTCAAAAAGAAGAGCAGCAATTTTCCTAATTTGACTAAATAAAATAAGACTACATAGTTCATACCTTCGGCATTTGGAATTGAACTGACACATCTTGAGTGTGTTCCATTGAACGCTTCCTTTGACAAAACTGGTTTGTCAAAGTTACGTAAATCATAAACATGCACTGATGCTCCAATGGATACAACAAGATTAAACCCACATACAGACATGGAGTTCACCTCTGCCTCTAGACTTCTCAACCACGAAGAAGCCTTCTCCATATGCATATCCCATAACAATAACTTCTTGTCAAATCCAGATGTGACCAACTGACCTGCAATAAACAAGACCAAGAATAATATGAACTTTTTAAAAGACAATACAGCATGGCTATAATACAACTTTAAGTTTCCTAAACCTGGCATCTCAATAATTTTATCTTCATGATGATGGAAGCTCCTCCAAGCATGAACCACGAAGAAGAGGCTCCAAAATCAGAGATAAACAGCAAAGAAAACCAGTGCAGCGGAAATGAGGTTGAAAGGAGGTGTTTGATGTGTTTAAGTGGAAGAGAGATGTGTGTAGGAAGCCTCACAACTCGTAAGGCCTTCCTACTAAGGAAGGAATCTAGAGGATAAGGAGAGAAGTCGAAATTGAAGAGAGACTCAAGAGCATAAAGGAAATGTAACTACCAACACGGAAAATGAACAAAAATAAATGCTAGTTTTAAAACAAGAATTAACAAACCTCAAAACAGAAACACGACTCAGAATCAACACACGACTGAATCAAATGAACAAAAAATTGAAAAACAAAACTCGAAACAAAGACAGAGATACTTATCTCTTGTACCGTGGACAAACTGGAGCTCTAATACCACTTGATGAGCGAAGGCTCCAAGGAGAGGCTGATTGAAGCGATACGAACGCGATTTAAACCTCCTCAAAGCTTCCTCCAATGAAGAATAACGCAACAGAATGGTAAAATGATGAAGACTAAACGCGACACGATACGCGGACCTTAGGCGAAACCTTAAGTTCGAAGGATAAATGCTAAATCGAAAACTAGCGGACCAAAACTAAGATCGAACTCATAGAAACCCTAAGAACTAGGTTTTGTTCGGTGGAAAACCCTAAAAGATGAAGTAACCCTAGACTGAACCGATTAACCAGTGTAAAATGAAGATTGAACCGTAGAAAGGAGTTTGATCGGTGCAAATGAGGATTTAAACAATTGAAATCGATGAAAAAGGTGTTTTACGAAGGAAACCCTAGCAAAATAGGTTGTAAGGTTCGATGAGGTAGGAAATGGAGAAGAAGATGTTTGAATGTTGATAAAAATGGAAGATATGGATCTAAGATGATGCTAGAGAAACCTGAAATGGAGTTGTGGCTGCTTCTTGTAAGAACCTAGAAAATAGAGTATTAGAGTTGATAGGTGTTTTAAAATAACGATACCAACTATTATAAAATTAAAATAATTTGATCATATAAATAGAATTTCTTAAACTCGTCTCATTACTTCAAACATTATTCATCTCTCTAGAACTATTCTCTAAACTCTCTCTACCATCTCTCTAAGTTTTCTTACTCGTCGATCATCTACTTGAAGATCAGGAAGTTCTTAGGAGATCACAGCTGAGTTATCTCCACATCTAACCGATCAATTTCTGCTATAGAGCAAGTAAGTTTCAACTCCTTTTTCCTCTTTTATTCCTAATATGTTTTTGGAAGCAGCAAGTGTCGTTGCATGTGTGATCATGCTTCTCCTACTCATTCTTGGTTCATCTAGAGTTCTAAGGACTTTGTCCGTTTTCAATTTGGTGTTTCGTAGGTTCATCTAGAGATTTCTTTCGTTTCAAGTAATCGACAGATTGTTCTTTGATTTGAGCAGTTTTCTTGTGAGGTAAGGGAAGCTAGATTTTTCTTTAATTGATGTTTGTGGTGTAAGTTTGGTGTTTATATGTGTATTAAACTGATTTGGTGTGATTTTTGTTTTTGTGCTAGTGTTAACTCGTTTAAATGGGTGTGTTTGAGTATTTGATGATGAAATGTTGATGTGAGTTATCTTGGATGATATTTTGGTCATGAATTGTATGTGAATATGTTGTATTACTGATTGGAATGTGTGTTGTAAAGTTTATGGAATAAGGAGTTGAAAATCTAGGAATTTTGGTAGTTAAAATGGAGGTTTTGATATGCATTTTGGTGAGATAGTGTTTGGATGGAGAAATCTGGTATTGCAGGTTTGTTTATATGTCATTTGGGGTTTGTTAGCACCATAAGTTGGTATAAATCTGATAGGGAAATTGGTATGGGTCAATGTGATGGTTTTAGAAGGTTTACAGTTCAAATAAGGGGTTTTGACATGTGAATTTTGATACAAGAGTTAGGAAGGAAAAACAGAGGTTTGGGAGTTAGTTATTTGGTCATTTAGAGCTGGTTTTGATGTTGAAATGGGGGAAATCTGATGTAAGAGTGTTTGGTGGTTGATAGGTGGAGTTTAGCTTAGTTTGGAACTAGTTTTTGGGGGTTTGGAACTAGTTTTTGGGGGTTTGAACTAATGAGAATTTGAATTCTAGGTTCTGTATATAAATGGTCACTTTGGAGGGTGTTAGTAAGTCATTTGTGACTTGTTGGAGTCCCTAAGTTGCTTAAAAATAAGCTATAGGTTGTGGAATTCAATTTGGTTCTCTAAAGTGAGGTTTTGGTTAATTTTGGATTGAAATCTTGTGGTCAATCAGTTTAAAACGAGTTTATGTTGGTTTAGATACATTTGGTTAGGTCAATTTTAGTTTAGAATACAATCTAGGAGTGTTACAAGTTGGAAAAGATACACAGAATAGGTCATGAGTAGTTGAGGGGTGCAAATTCTGCAGTTTTGGTGCTGCAGAATTATGCAATCTAGCTGAGCGAGCATAACACTTCTAACTGAGCGAGTGTAATCGCTTAACAAGCAGAACCCACTATTTTTGTTTTCGCATAGCGAGCAAAACCCACTATTTCTGATTTCTCATAGCAAGCTTGTGCGCTGAGCGACCAGTCCAGAACATGTTTTGATTCTTTCTTTCTTTGTTTTCTGATAACTTTGAGCTATGCTTTGACTTTGAGGATGGTGTAGAAGTATCTATTGTATTATATGATGGTTTATTCTTGAGATTATGTATGTATTTGATGTATGATCAATGATGTTATATGTTAGGATTCAATGTGAACGTATATGGATATATGTATGACTTCAAATGGTTTCACGATTGGTAAAGTGAGTTCCAAGGTGGAATTCTTGGTGTAGTTTCAAGTGTTGTTAATCTGAATGCGGGAAGCTTAGTCTTGAGGGTTATCCTGACACTCTAATGGTCATTCATTCTCAAATAGAGAGGATTGACAGATGTAGTGAGAGTAGCAAGAGGTCTTAGTCTTGGCTACTTCCAGTATGATCCAAGGCATAGAACAGACTAACATTGTGAGTGTGGTAAGGTAAAACTCATTGCCAATGGCTTTGCAAAGCAGTAGAAGCTACCACAAGTGCACAACCCGCCATAGCTCGACATTTATTCTAAGTCCAAACAGTCAATATAGGTCATTGCATGCTAAGATGTTTGGGTCGTATTAAATTATATATGATTCTTGTATGAAATGCTTTAAACTTATAATGTATTGCTTGTGTATCTAGCTTCGTGTTGTTCTTCTCTTTTGCAATGACACCTAAATGGTGTGAGCTTAGGGAGACAATCTCTACAGTTGCTCTAGCGAGAGGTGAGAGAGAAGCAGAGGTGTAGTTAGATGGATCTACAGAAGTAGATCTCTTCTTTGTAGAAGGTTTGTTTTACCTAGTTGTTCTTTTAGCATTTATGTAACGTTTCATTTTAGTAGTTTTATACTATTAAAATAGGATGTTACGCTGCTCTCTCGAGAAAATGATGACTCGAAGAAGACAAAGTGAGAAATGAAAATGTAGCTCTCTGATGTGCTGATTCAAGAGAGAAAATGATGTAGCGCAATAAGCGAGCCACGCAGGTGAAGATGTGGCAGCTGATGTGCGTGTCGAAAGCTGATGCAAGATGAATGTAGTATGTTGCGTGGAGGAGAGAGAATATTCATGAAGCACAAATGGAGAATGGAAATGAAGGAGGTGTGCTTGGAAGGTGGCTAGAGGAGGATCTCTAGGATTCTCTAGCCTGACATTCAAGGAAGAATTATTTTTTATTTCAAAAATTCAATTTCTCATTCGTCTCAAAAGTCCTCCATCCCTTAGAAAATTTGCCATCCTTTAATGTCACGTGCTAGGTTCTCCCATCCAAGACTTAGAAGAGGATATCTTGTCGTCCGATTTCCTTTAAATACTTTTTAGCAAAGATGGACAGAATGACTAGAAAATATCCATTCACATATGAATCCTTCATGGTAACCATAAAAGAAGGAGTTTCAGATCTGGTTGCACCACTACTATTCCCTTGAAGCTGATCAACTTTAACTTGGACGTGCTGAGGTAAACTAGAGCTTTGCCCAACAACTCCACTTGGGTGTGCCCTTGGTTTTTAGATGGCCCAAGAAGAGATGGTAATGTTGGAGCTACCTCAAACAAAACATTACTAAAATTGTTGAGCATTGTTGGAGGGATAATTTATTTGTACAACATTTGTATTGTATATATGTACCTCCAATGTACATGTGTGTTGGTATTTGAACATCACAAGATGGTCGTAACCAAGGGAGTAATAAGTGGAAAATTCCTTCCAACCCTTATCTAACCAAACATTACCAGCATCGTCTTTAGTCCAACATAGTTCCCATTCAATGCCATAGGGAATCTTGAGAAATAGGGGGTTCAACGATCAACCCTCATATTTATGAATCGTGTTATCGTCTTTTGTAGGGTTCCAGTGGTAAAAGAGGAGAATCGGTAGACAAGGTTGACTGACGAAGCTCTTCTTCTTTGTTAGTCTCCTACGGTTCACTGAGCTTTGCACTTTGTCTATGCGATTTAGTAGTTGTCGCTCGCGTTTTTCCCTTGCTCACTTTTCCCCCTCACTCCTTGAAGAGTGCTAGCTACCTGCTGAGTTTCACCTCAGAGACCTCTTAACCCAATCGAGTCACATCAGTCATGACTTCTTGCCCAGGAATTGATCCTCTTCCCTCTGAGTTCTGCTTCTTCAAGATTATTAGGGATACTACTCTCCAAGAGGGAAAAATTATGATTCCAAAGGAGTTCACTCAGAAATATGGTGGTAGATTGTTAAACCCCCTGTTTCTCAAGGTTCCCAATGGCATTGAATGGGAACTATGTTGGACTAAAGACGGTGTTGGTAATGTTTGGTTAGATAAGGGTTGGAAGGAATTTTTCACTTATTACTCCCTTGGCTACAGTCATCTTGTGACGTTCAAATACCAACAAACATGTACATTGGAGGTACAGATATACAATACAAATGTCGTGCAAAGAAATTATCTCTCCAACAATGCTTAAAAACAATTTTAGTAATGTTTTGTTTGAGGTAGCTCCCACATCACCATCTCTTCCTGGGCTTTCTAAGAAACCAAGGAAACACCCAATTGGGCCAGGCTCCAGTTTACCTCAGCACGTCCAAGTTAAAGTTGATCAACTTCAAGGGAATAGTAGTGGTGCAATCAGATCTAAAACTCCTTTGTCATGTGTGTCAAGGCATGCAAGGGTGTGTAACTCGGACATGTTCGATATTAGTATTTATCTCTAACACAATCCTTGTTGTATTCTGTTCATGTAACTGTAAAAACCTAAGGGCTACCTCTCAGGTTGGGTAAGAGTGGAACGGCAGGAAGGAAGTGTGAAGATTCCATATTAATAGCTAATATGGCCTTTCAATACCATACAAATAATTAAAAACAGAACAAATTATCCATGCTATTAAAAGAAATGAGTAGAGGCATCGTATCTGTAGCTTAGCTTACAAGTTTCATTAGAATATCCAATGCATGTTGCCATATCATTGTGACAACCCACTGTATCAACAAGTCCTGAATGCAAGTCATACCTAGAAAGTTTAGCTCTAAAGGAGTCAAAAAACAACACATTTGAAACATTGTAGAAATTCATCATATATCACATCATATACGAAACTAATGAAATCCAAAGGACTTTGGTTATCTTGTTTTCCAATTTTATTTCCAGTAAATATGCTTTTATTAATAATTAATCATTTATGATTACAAAATGTCATCCTATCTATATTTTTTATTTTCCAAACCCATTAAGCAATAATAAAAACAACACTTCGGTAACTTAATTTCATAATAAACCACCAATTTGATCCCCAAACTATCACCTTCTCCAGTGTAGTCTTTAAACTAAGCAAATTATATAAATAGCCATCACAATATTAGACACAGACCCTCAAGTACTGAAAATAATCTTCAATTAGTCCCTCCAAAAAAAAATTAAAATAGGGATTAAATTTCCGGATGCTCATCACTTTAGGAACTACTTATGAAATTTCATCAATTTAATGATTATTTAAGACCACTAATTTCATATGCATAATAAATGTACCTAGCAATGAATAATTTGATGACTAAGAAATAACAATGAACCAACTCAGTTTCTTCTCTAGGCGAATAAATTTTTGACTTCCTACACTTTAGTTTATTCATCTGACAGTGATTACAGTAGAAGAAAACAAAGAGGAATAAGTTAAAGTTTATTTTTATGAAGGAAAATTAAGAAGACCTTCGGATTAAACCGTCGGAGGAGACGGCAAAAGCAACCACGTCGTCCTGGAAGCAGCAATCAAGAAGAGGAGACTGCGAAGGAGCTTCGAGTCGGAGGAGCGATGCGTCCACGTCGTAGAGGCGGAGAGTCTGTTTCGGATTCAGATTCAGCAAATGGCGAGAAGGAAAGGGGAAAGGTTAAGATCAAGAAGAAACTTACCGAATCCCAAGAAGATATGAGAAGGTTGTTGGAGTGGGGCGCGAATCTTGTCCGAGAAATTGCGTCCTCTACTCCTTTCTCCAACCTCAATTCGAACGAATCATCCTTCATTCTTTTGGATGACTTCAAAACTGAAGCTCCAAGCTTGGATTTGAATTTCCCCCCTACAAATGGCAGGAATATACATACAGCAGTGGAAATACTTTACATATATGGGCATGTCCAAGTAAAGCACATTAATTTTTGTACAATGTTTTTACAATTTACCTACTTTTTTAAATTCAAAATAACTAGTTATCATCAAAAAATTATTTACACAATAAAAAATTACCTATAATAAAATATAATAATTATTTATTTTTATAATTATTTGTTATAACAATTATTTTGTTTTTATATCTTAAACCTATATATTAAAGGATTCATTTTTTTTCTTGTTCGTATTTGTTTTTCAATTTTACCTTTCAAGTGACATTTTCTTTTTAAATTTTGACTATTTTTTTTTTAAATTTATCCACTTTTTCAAGTTACATAAAAGTAATCTACAACATAAATAAAAATTGTCTATAATTAAATTATAAAAATTATTTATATTTATTTTTATAATTATAATTTCATTCTTTTTTTATCATAGAAAAGTATGTATGGACCTGTATGTTTTCACTAACGAGATTTTTTTTATGTATATAATTTTTATTTTTATTTTACTTTTTAATAATTACTTTTTTTAATCAGATAATTATTCATAATAAAAAGATTATTTACACAATAAAAATACTTATAATAAAATTATAAAAAAGATTTATTTGTAATTTTATACTTTAATGATATTTTTATTTAATAATTAAAAAATGTATATAATTTAATAATATTTTTTATTTCAATAATTATGATACAAATAAATGTTTTCCTATAATAAAAATATACAAGTGTAAATAGTATAAAACCCCAGAAAATGGTATTTTTGAAGTGGTAGTAGTTTAAAAATAGTGAGATTTAGTCATTTTAATATTAAGTGGTTTATTTATAAATAGTTTTGTTATAAACGAGTTTCATTATTTTAAAACTTATCATTTCTCTAGAAACCACTTTTTTAGAGTTTTTTACCTTCTCTCTAAGAATTCTAACTCTGAGTCATTTTTCTAAGAATCAAGAGGTACCTAAACGATCACGGCAACAAGGTCTACATTTCTACCCGATCAGTTACTTCAATAGAGTAAGTAAGTTTCAGTTTTTTTTCTCTTTTCGTTCTTAATTGAGATTATGCTTGATGATCTCTTGTCACATGTGAATTGTAATGTCTTTTCCTAATTTCCTGTTGATCATAGGTCTTAAGAACTCTCTTTGATATTTGTTCAATGTTTTGTAGGCATTTCTAAAGTTCATTGAGCTCTAGGAAATGGTTCGGTGTTTATAGAGCTTTGTTGCTCCAATATAAGGTCAGGGAAGCTAGATGTCTTATCATTAACTATAATTGTCTTGCAAGTTTAGTGGTTATTTGCTTATTAACTTTATTGAGTATTAATTTGAGTAATTATGTTATGTTAGTTCAATTATATGTGTATGTTATTGTATTGTATGACCTATGTTTGATATGATGAAATTGGATGTCTTTGTTGTCTTGAATGATGTAATATGAAGTTTTTTTATGTTGGAAATTTTAAATTCAAAGTGTTTGGAGGGAAGAGGGATCAAATACATGGGTGGTGTAGCTAAAAATGGAGGTTTTGATAGGTGAGTTTGAGAAATAGGTGTTAGGGTGAAGAAGCAATTATTTTAAGGCTGTTATTTGGTCATTTATAACTTGTTTTGGACGAGAATTAGTTTATATGTGTGTTAGAATTGAGTAGTAGTCATTTTGGAGTATTTGCAAAGTTGTTCAAGTGTATTTTGGGGGTTTGAACTAGTGAGATTTTGAATTTTAAGTTATGTGTCAAAATGGTCATTTTTGAGGGTATTGGCATTTCTGACTTGTTAGAGCCCTTAAGTTGATAAAAAAAATGAGCTAGAACTTGTAGAATTAAATTTTGGTCTTTAAGGTGAGAGTTTAGTTGTTTTTAAGTTAAAATCTTATTGTAAAACAGTTAAGAACTAGTTTAAGTTGGATGATACACATTTGTTTAGGATCATTTTAGTTTTGAAATCAAATTAGGAATGTTAGAAGTTGGGAAATATGCATAGGAAAGGTCATAAGTAGTTGAAGGGTGCAAATTTTTCAATTTTGGTGCTGTAGAATTATGCAATCTAGTTGAGCGAGTGTATCCGTTGAGCGAGCAGAACACTTCTAGTTGCTAGTGGGTGTAGTCGTTGAGCGAGCAAAACTAATTGTTTCTGTGTTCATAGAGCGAGTCATGGTGGTTGAGCAAGTCAGCTAGCAAAAACTTTTAGCTAAGCGAGCAGACTTGGTGACTAAGCAAAAATATAAGATTTTCAACTAAGTTTTTATATACTTCCTAAGGTATATTCAATATATGTGATTGTTTGAATGATTGGTTTATAATACTTATTGTGAAGTATGAATTTATTTATAATATGAATTGGAAACAAGGTTATGTATATGATTATTTATGATATATGACGATGATGAGTTTTGTGTTCTCTTCTCTTATCTTCTTAATGAAGGATAATTACATTGATACTTTAAGGCGTGATTGGTATATTATGCAATGTGAAAGTGAAGGAATATATGTATATGGTTTCAAATGGATTCAATGTAAAGGTGAAGTGATATCAATAATTTCAAAGTTGTGAAAATGAGTTCCAAGGAGGAACTTCTTGATGGTGGTTTTAAGTATTGATAGTATGAATGGTCGAAGTTAAGATGGGGTTTATCCTGACATTCTAATGATCATCTATGTTCAAGTAGAGAATGATGAGTCGTGTTATGAGAATAGTATGAGGTCCAAGCCTGAGGAGCCTTTCTCGATTTAGCAAAAGGGCGTTTGAGGACTAACCTTGTGAGTGGTAGGGTGAAACTCATTGGTAATGGCTCTACAGAGCAATAGAGGCCACCACAAGTGTAGGAACCTCTATAACTCGACATTCCATACAATTTCCAGATAGTCAGTCTAAGTCTTTGCATGTTAAGATATTTTGGTTGATGTATGTGATATAAATTATTTATGTATGCTATATGTTATAAAGGTCATATAATTTGTCTTGTATCTAGCTTACCCTTGTTTTCGTGTTGTTATTCTCTTTGCAATGATCACCTAAATGGTGTGAGCTTAGGAAGAAGTTTTAACAGTTGCTCCGACGAGAGGTGAGGGTGAAACAACGATGTAGTTAGATGGATCTACAGAAGTAGATCTCTTCTTTGTGGAAGGTTTGTTTTAGTTAGTTGTTCTTTTAACATCTATGTTACATTTCAGTTTGGTAGTTTTATACTATTAAAATGAAATGTTAAATATAACATATGTCTTTTCACTACTATAAGTAATATGATTCGTAAGTTTTAACTTTTATTTTTGTGTTTTAAATAAATAAAGAAGGAAAGAAAAACTGAGTTTAAATAAATTTGTTTTAGATAATTGAAAAAAAAAAGTATTAGTTTTCTTCTCACTTTTAGAGAAAATTTAAAAAAAAAATGGTATTTAGAAGAGAGGTCAATTTGGAGGTATCTTTCTTTCATATAAAAATATATTAGGTTTCCTCTTTTACATTATTTATGATAAAAATGTATATTCTTTTATAATATAATTTTAAAAAAAATAATAAAATATTTGTATGTAATTCATTTATTTTATTATTCGGACTGTTATTGATCAATATGATAGTGTTGCATTAGAATATGAAACTCTGGGGATTAGTTCACCTATTTAATGAGTAATTATTGTAATTTCCTTGAGGGATTCAAGTGTTATTTGCTTAATGTAACTACAATTACATGGTAAGAGAAGTTAAAAGTGATTCTTTAAAGATAAAGGCAATTTCGTACGAAACTCTTATTTAGGTGATTTCAATATAATTCTTTAAAGGTTTCAAGAGATGGTCACTAAATCATTATCCATCAAAATGATTTCTTATTATGTTATCTTAGATCAATAATTCTTAATGGTTTTTCAACCTGTTACAACTTCAACTAAAAGTTGACCAAACCATAATAAATAATAAACTGATTAGACATAAATACAGAAAAATAATGTAACATTGCATATAAATATAATCAAATATTAATAATTTTAATTAACATATTAATAATTTGTTTAGTTCACGTATAATAATTTATGAAACTAATGATGTTTCCGCCAATAAAAGATCGCATTGTTACATTTTCAAAATTGAGTCACTTGATTCAATCTTCAAATAATCACATTATTCTATTTCTAAAATTGAAGAATTTGATTGAAACCTTTATCAATAGAAAAATCAAATTAAACCAAATAAATGAAAAAGTAAGTAGGACGCAGAAAAGGTAATTGAGTCATAAAACTACATAACACATACAAAATGTATTCAGGTGCATGTTTACAAACCACTTAGTTATAATTTTATATAGAATCACGTAAGTAGAACAAATTTCATGAATAATCACGATTCATACACTAAAACAAATGCTTATCATAAAATGCTACGTAAGAAATCACAGCATATCATAGTTCAATGATGCAACGAACCAAAATAACTGATATAGGTAGTACAAAAACAAAATTTCTGATCAAAATCTAGTGTCAACCTAATGTAAGCTTCAATTTTAAAATATATACACCACTCCACATTTGCTCTCACTGGTAAGCATTTCAAACGCTTACTTTTCATAGAAATCAAGATTCAAGATCTTTCAACTCAAAATCCAGTTGTTTCGTCTGGAACATAGAAATCAAATCTAACATCAACAGAACCGGAACTCTCTCCAGTGTCCTTATACTCAACATTTGTTATCGTCCCAAATTCATCCATATCTTGATATTCTGGCTTAACTCGCCGTACAGGCACAGTAACAGAGTAAATAGTTCCAAGATCTGTGTCAGCAGAGACACTCAGCTGAACTTTATCCTGTGATTCTATTTCCACAAAGTCAGATAGAGCACGCACAACATTGCTGACAATTTTTCGCTTTGCCTCATCACTTACTGCACACCGATCAGAGAACAAAATCATCTTCAAGCGTTGCTTAGCAATTCTAGCATTAGAGTTTTTTCTAGATGTTGCCGATGGGAAAATTATCTTCCAAGCCAAATTTAATCGCTCAAAAAAGTTCATTTTGACAGCGTCAAGGAGAAAATTTTCAGCTTCTTGACTAACTGAATTTGAGGTGAATTTAGGACCTCCAAGGATTGCAGCCACTGGCTTGCAAGACCCACGAATATTGCATCGTACAATTGTCAGGCAAGGGCATTTTGGGGTGAATTCAGAGATGTTACATGCTCTATTCAAGAATCGATGAAAGTCTACCTATTAGACAAAAAATTTGAAACATTATCGAGAAGGCATTTTTCATTTCTTTCAAGATCTTGAAATAATATTAAGGTTAATGTGAGCATTTATCAACATACAAGAAGCTACGCCACGAGCATCTGAAATCTGAATAAAGACATCTAATCAAATAGAAAATCAAAGAGCTTTTTGTTGAACCTTTCCCCACAACTGAAAAATCAGAAAACATAAATGCACTACCACAATCTCTGTAATCACACTGAACCCCTCCAACTGAATCGCAAAATATATTCTATAATGTCTAACGGAATATGTTATAAATATTTTCAATCAAATGAAAAATGATGCAAACATAATGATGCCCTCCTCTAATACTTTCGTCTAGAGGGCCATGAAATGGAGTTACAACTTAAGAATGCACGCTATCATATCAACTTAGCCTAATAAGATCTTTCATAGCATTCAACTAATCGCAGAGAGACAAAATAGTGTATAATCCAACACTTTGCATGGATTTCCATCATATGAAAAACACCTATAATATTATTTGGTTTAGAACCACAGGTACCTTCTACGGGAGACAATCTTGTGTAGGTAGAAAAAACATAGAATAGCATAAAGAAGCGCAGAAAAGACATTCCAAAAGTAGGAGATGTTGAATTTCAATGAAAAAGCCAAAAGAAGTCTACTACACGGGTTTCAAAACCAAAAAAAATGGTACTTCAGCCAAGTTATACAACCTATCAGAGGAGTTGAGAGTCTTAGTGAGGAGAGATAGAGTGATTCAAAGAGGTCGAGTCGAGGGGGATTTAGGGATTAAGAGGAAGATTGTGTGATTCAAGAAGGTCAAGCCACCACACAGGCTGTCAACACTCGAGGAAGAGAATAGAGAAAGTGGTTGGCCCAAGTGTCATAACCTGAACAAAATCGTAAGCTTACTATAAATTGATAAGATCCTCGGGAGAACCATACCACGAAAGTCCATGATTGTAGTTGGAGAGCTTGAGGTCTTATAAACCCCAGACTACAATCCCATAATTCCAATATGGCACTCTAGTTCCTTCCATGCAAATGGATCCTAACATAAATGTTTGCAGGTTTGAAGCTCAAGAAAGTTCGCCAACTTCGCAAACAATCCCCTCAATCCTGCTCCATCACACACACTAGCGACTGGAAAAAAGCACATAAAAGGCTGAATAGTCATAGGGTCTTAATCTTTACAAGGGTCAAAAATCGAACCTAAGCCCATACTTAACAAAAATCAGGCATACACCACCTAAGCAATCACCACTATAGTGTAAGGTTTTCACGTTCTACCAGACATGTCACTAGACCATCCATCACATCATGCCAAATTGCCAAATGACGCTAAATGCATACATAAAACAAAATTTATGAGCTCGGATAACGGGTCACATCAGTTTCTTCAAGACTACTATTTTATCTTAAAATGGTAACTATATTTTTCTTTGTTTCTATTTTGAATGCTTCACGTTTGACTCTCCACTGAGTACAACATTATAAAACACCGCAATTTTATAAAAACCCTAACCGGATTGTGGAGCCCTCAAACGGTGCGGTTTGCCGGTAATTAAGCGTTGAATTCAGCATGAGTGGAATTGCAATGAGAATGCATGCATGTTGTGACAGAGAGTGAGAAGCATTCGTGAGAAGATAAGAGGGAAATAGAGAGATGAAAAAATGAAACCTTAGGAGAAGGGACGAAAGCAGTTCGAAGTGGAGGTGAGTGGGAGTGGAAGCGATAGAGAGGAAGAGTGGCAGAGACTCGCAGATCGCCGGAAATCGCCATTGTTGATAGCTTCGTAGTGTGCTCCGAGAAACGGAACTTCGATGTTATCAGTCACAATCTTCAATTTCCCTGCTATTATTACGCCCCAATTACGTCGTCGTTTCGCCCGCCTTTCTTTTCTATATTCCTTTTTTTCTTTTCTATATTCCTTTTTTTCTTTTCTATATTCCCTTTTTCTTTCAGAGAAGAGAATTTGAGCGTGTATGAAAATAGAATTATGGCAAAAAATAGATAGGAGAGATGAATTAAAAGGCTAAATATGTCATCAAAGAAATAGCAAAAGAATAAGAAGAAAAATTATTGTTAATCTATCTTGCAATAAGGTTCCATGATTATTTTTTCATTCGTTTTTATCTCATTAAATGGTTTAAATTAATTTCATCTTTCATTTCTTCCTTTTTTACAATCATGCATGTCATCATGATGTAACATACATCACTTAAACTAAATATAGTAATTAATCTCACTATTTATTGAAATTAGTATACTTTTAGCAAAATTTAAATAATTTAAACTGAATTACATGTTAAAATCTTGTTGGTATTATTATATAAAAGAAATATTTGTTATCTTCAATTTGAAATAGCAGTGCACTTTTGTTTGAGCTGATATTGTTTTAATTGATATTTTCGTCGAATTAAATATAAAATTGAAATTTTTAGTTGTTTGAAACTTTTATATAATTCGATCAAATTTTAAAAATAAATGAATATAATTTTTTTAAGTTAATTATTTTAAATTTTTTTATATCAAGTGATACTTTGAGTTGGTATTTAAATTATTTACGCATTTCAACATATTTTAATTCAAATGTTAGTCTTAAATGACCTTTAACACTTAGAAAAAAAAGTTAACATATTTAGAATAAGAGAATTATATTTATTTATTTTTAAAGTTTGAGATTAAAATGTATAAAAAATAAATTATAATTTCATATCCAAGTTTATGAACTAGAAAGCATATTTAACCTTTGAATTTTTTTTTACTGAAACTTAAGTTCAATCTAGTTATTTATATCAAATATAAGTCCCTCTTTTAATTCTCTTTCATTATTATCTTGTTGTAATAAATTTCTCTACGAAAAAATATTTAAATAGCAACCAATTTAAATACCAATTTATAAACTAAAATTATAAGGTAAGATAGCGTGGAAAGGAGGTAGAGATGTGAGTGTGTAGTCATAAAAATATTTTTTTTCTTATTAAAAGATTCGTAAGAGCTAATGAGGGTAATGGAAGGATGTTCTTGTAATTAAGGAAGAAAAGTAGTGTGAATCAAGGTAAGGGGAGCTAACTATATCTTTTTCTTTTACTTCAATATGTGTTGTCTTGTGATTTTGATAAGAGTTTATGAAAAAAGTTTTGAATCAGAATGGATATGCATTATACTAAAATATATATGAAGTTTTAAGTCATTGGATATTGATTGTTTTGTTTTTCTCTTCAGCCTAAATGTATTGTATTTATAATGTATGGGAGAAAGCGGGTAAGATGTTGGGTCATCATGTTTGGTGTTGCGGAAGTTAATTAAGCATTTTAAGATTGATGATTTGTTTTGCTTTGGGATTGAGGCATTTTGTTTATAGATTAGTGTACGCAGATGTTTCTTTTATGCTTTGAAAGTAAACATGTTGATAATTAGGTCTTGATATTTTTTCCTTAGACTAAAGATGATGCAGTTTTGGTAAATTACAATTGTGTTTTTGTTTATCAATACAACTTTGATGGGGCATGATGTTGTTTTGGTTTCATTATGGTTACAAAAAAGGCAATAAGAGGCTTTATTATAATTTATATACGTATTAAACATCGACCGAAAGGTATCAAAACTCGACCAAGAGGTTTCAGACCTTGGGCAAAAGTTTTCAGACCTCAGTCGAGAGGTTTTAGACCTTGGCCAAAAGGTTTTAGATCTTGATCGAGCTGTATTAGGCCTCGACTGAGATGTTTCAAATCTTGGACCATATTTTTCAGACCTTGGCTAAGTTGTATTAAACCTTAGTCGAGATGTTTTAAACCTTGGTCGAGATGTATCAACCCTTGGTCGTGTTGTATCAGACTCATCCTTACTTAGATATATTATATGACTTTGTATGAGTCGATGCCTTGTGTTGAGATCATTCTGTGTGATGAACTAGGGTGTGAAATCATGTGTGGTTGCATTTTTGGTTTGATAACATGTTTTGAGCTAAAATATGATTATAGATCGAGTTAGAATGTTGGTTGAGGGATATGATGTGATTTTTATATTACATGTATTAATTATGTGAGTTTAAGTTATATGGTTGTTTGATAATATGAAATAGCATGTGTTATTGTGAATGTGATGCCTACATATGTGATATGATGGTGCATATGAGAAGCGTGTGTCTCGGCCAGAGGTGAGGGAGCTTTGGGAGTTGACCCTAAGGACTCCAGTTATGGTCTCTAGGAGAGTAGTGGGGAGTGGTGGACTTAACGTAGCGATACTAGAGGTGTACTTGCCCGATGAAGCTCTTTGGGAAAGTAGTGGGAAGTGATACTATGTATTTACTCGGTGAAGCTCTCTAGGAGAGTGGTGGGAAATGGCACCACATACTTTTCCGATGAAGCTCTCTAGAAGAGTGGTAGGATGTGACACTGTGTACTTGTCTAGTGAAACTCTTTGGAAGAATGATGGGAAGTGACATCGTATACTTGTCTGGTGAAGCTCTTTGTAAGAATGGTGGGAAATGACACTTAAGCTGATTTTGGACGATAAGCTATGTGCGAGAGCTATGTTGATGATTGAACCTCATGGGTCGAGACTACCCATATATTCATTGTGGTTGGATGATATGACAAAAATTGCTATTTGATTATATGTTATTTATGAATTATCGAAAGATTGAATGATGTTTGTTATGAGTGTTATTATTATTTATATGTAAGTTTATTTATTATATTTTCTTTTAAGTTAACTCATCCTTGTATATTTGTGGTTGTGTTTTTCACCTTTGATGATAGTATGACTTGTGTTATACGTGAGTAAATAATGTTGTAGATGGTGATTTAGATGCACAATAGTGAGAAGCGTGAGAATTGCATCGGAAACACATTTTCTTGTATTTTGAGTAAACATTAGTTATTAACTCTTTTATGTTTTCTTATTGTTGGAATAAACTTTATTGAATGAAACACTTATTTGATGAAATAAATGAACATTTTAATTATTTATTTTATGATAAAAAATAAATAAGTTTAGTATATGCACAAAAAAAGTTTTTAATCTTTTAGTCGCATTCTGAAAGAGTATTACATTTATCAAGATTTTAGTTATAAAGGAGTTAGGGTCTAAATTGGTTTCTAATTATTGAATATTTCTTCAACAACTTCTTCTTCTTCTTCAGCACACAGTACCATCACACCACCAATTAGAAAATGTGTTGCAACCACCAAAACAAAAGTGAGAAAAACCAATTATGTGTAAAACATGAGTGAGAGAATTGATTCTCCTAACGCATGTAATACCAAGAATCAATTCTTTGTGCAAAAAGAGTGAAGAGAAGGAGTTTGTTGGAAAAAAAAACAACACCATGATGCTTCTCTTGAGCTGTATTAGTGGAATAAAAATGCATGTGCAAATCACAATGGTCGCTACCTATAAACAAGACTGATAAACCAAGAAAATAATTCATCCTACAACTAATTTAACACCCTCAAATCCCTCATATTTACCCTATGAGAGGAAAAAAACACCTAAAAACATAAGGTTAATTGTATAATCTCACAAGTGATGAGTTGTCTTTCTCGTCATATCTCTTCACCACAATGAGGAACTCCACCAGTTCCCATCTCTCATTTTCATGCATGCTCATCCACTTAAATTGGTTGAAACAAACACCAATGTAGAAAGGGCTTTAGACATCTGTTATTTTGTCCTTTTAACGTCAGATCCATATCCGACGTCTTTGTGGGTGACATTAATAAGACGTCGGACTGGATATACCAGACGTCTATATAGACGTCAGATGTAGGTATACCAGACATCTATATAGACGTCGGATGTGTCCATATCTGACGTCTATAGGCCCTGGAACGTTTTGTCTATTGTAACTCATTGGACATCTGTTTGTGCACTGACAAACGTCTATAGATGTCGGACATGACATTAACAGACATCTACTGAGTGTTTTTTTTTTTTAAATTAATTTATTTTTACAATAAAACTATACGTGAAAAACAGAAAATTGTCCCATAACAGTATACTATAATATATATATATATATATATATATATATATATATATATATATATATATATATGCATTTCAACTAAAGAAAGTTCTACTTAATCTAAAAAACAATCAAATACTAAAACTATCAAAATATAAACTTAAACTAAACCTAAGTAATGTTCAACAACAAATATAAGTGTTCATAGCTCCATCTTTGCAGAAGATAAGTTGTTCACTCTTGCCTTATCTGCCTAATTGTGTCCTCTGGTATAGGAGATGTACTCTTGAAGCGCTGCAGAATTAAGAAAGATTTATTATGGTTTCATATATGTTCAAAGATGAATTTTATTTATAATGTATTGAAGGTATGCATCATTATCTCATTCTAATCATCTGTAATGGCAGCTCGAATGATGATCTTAATCCAAGACATAACATAGAAGTCACATTCCCATGAATCTAGCGTTTGTTACACTAAAATGACAAACTAAATAGTCAAGAATTTAGACCATTCAATAACATAGAAAATGAATTAGAACTATAAATGACTTACGACCTTTTGATACAAAACTTGAACTAGTTGACCTTGGGATTTACCCATAACTCTATTTAGATTGAAAACACAAAGTAAAATTAATATAACTATATTTATCATAAAAATTTAAGGTCAACATGAAATTCAAAGTCATTTTTGGAGAAACACTTACCCTTAAAGCATGCTTCTCAAGTCATTTTTCATCTTCCTATGCAGCAAACAAAACCATATAATTCTACATTGTCTGGGAATGATGACCATCAGTTGCCAGTGAGACCTATCACGAATCATTAATAGTTAGTAAACTAATTAAGTAAACTTTAATGAACTTTTACATAAAACAACACATACCCATCAATGTATGACACAAGGTATATGTCTCTATTTGACTTAGCCATCCATGTTTGCA